ATGTGGCCTTACCAATGTATTGTAAAGTGGTATTAACACTTCACGTAATTTTGATTCTATCCCTCTGTTTATATAGCCTAGAACTGTGTTGGCTTTTTTGGCAGCTGCTGCACACTGCTGGCTCATATTTAAATGGTTGTCCACTAGGACTCCAAGATCCCTCTCACAGTTACTACTATTGAGCAAGGTACCACCTATATTGTATCTGTACCACCTATAATGTACTGTACTTACTAAGAGTTGAACTAAATTGTGACTATAAACAAAATCAGCACCTCCATGGTCAATGTTCCAACTTTCCCCACTAGAATTATTGCTGCCTGAGAATTCTGACAGTCTTTCTAACCTGTTCCAAGCATTCCAGATTCTGAAAAAATCTACATAGGACTTTAAGAAAAGAATAGTCTATGGAAGCAAGACAAAGAAAGATTCTCTCTACATACAATCAGATTAAGGAATTACTTCATGTCTGTAAATTTTTTTAAAAGGTGTGCATTTAACATCTTTAAGAAGCAATAGAAACTATGCTTTCTTCCCTAACAATACTTAAAATGAAAGGAAGGAGGTAGGTGAGAAATAAAATGAAATAGAGGCACGTGCAACAGGAATGAAAGCAAAAAAAAAGGCACGTGCAAACTCATTTCAAACCTGCCTCAAATGGAAAAAGAGAAAGTAACTGTTGCTATCCAGGCTACTAAGTATACATCGCAAAATTTCAGAATTGTCTATACTCATCCTGTATCACACACACACCTCACATTTGTCCATTTGGATAAACGACTTCATTGCAGAATACAGTGATGTTTCATATCCAACAGGAATTAAGCACCACTGATCTTCAGTGGGTCTCACTTCCAAGCAGCAACACATACACACAAAGAAAGAGCATTTATTTACAACCTGGATGTTCGCACCGTCACCTGCGCTTTACTTCATTGGGAGAATTACTCAGGCAGAAGCAGAAAGCTAACCCTTGCCTCTCTTCCTCCCTTTTCCTCAAAGTTTCTGCAAGTTGTCAACTTACCGGACGGCTTGTTCGAACTGAGAGACAAATCCAAGCACAACTCTAAAAAAAGTCCCTCGACCAAGGCGAGAGGGGTGCTCCCAGACTGCGCGCCCGCACGAGTGTCGGTAGCCCAATTCAGCGCGAGGTTGCGCGCAGAAACTGCTTCTCCACCCCCAGTCTCTGCCTTTGCTTAAATAATCAGGGCGGGCTGAATTATTTTCTCCGAAGAACTCCCGCCTTCCTGCCTTCTGATTGGCTGTTGCTATAGTGACCCTCCTAAGCTTCTTTGGCCTGTGGCAGGAGGGAGAGCCGGCTGTAGCGGGACCAGATGAGAGGGAAAAGTCGGGGTGGGAGGGCGGAGGGAAGTGGGTGTGAAGGGCTCATGTGGAAGAAAAGTAGACGCAGGGTGTTTTCCCCCCTGGTGAATTATAGTTCACCTGTCCACGAACGGGCAGAAAATTAAACTGACTTGAAATACTCTCTGTCCATTGCTTATTCCTATTCTGTTTTTATTTGCCAGGGAGTCCAACTTCCTTCTAAGATAATGGGTGACAAAACCTATGAGATTGTACAAGTTTTGAGGCAGGCTGCCCTTGGATGGTTTTGGAATAAGAGGGAAGTTCTTCTGAAAATACTGGCCCAGCTAAGGGAAATTTAAGTCTGTTGGGCCTTTTTCCCTATTTGTTTCAAATCAAGGCACAAACATGGCTATAGTAAATCTCTTTATAGCCCAAATTAAAATCAGTGTAGCAAATAACTCATGACCGAATAAAATTACATCACAATTCCACACAGTATTTTTAATTTGTATAGTTTTCATATTTTATACGTCTGTATAATACTTTATGTAACTCATTTGCATTCTCAGCTGACATCATGGCATTGTCTACATATAAAAGATACATTCACATCCTGCTATATTTCTCCATAATTGCATTAAATAACAAAGGGAACATTGCACATTCTTGTTTTATTCTTTATTCAGTATTGAATCATTGGTGAAGCATTCTACTTATTTTCAGACTGGCTACAGTGCATCCATGCATACATCCATCCATTCATATTTATATGGCCACGTATTTCACAAAATGTGAGTGGCATACAATTCTTTTAAATGATATAACATGATTTATATTTATAATATAAATACAATTAAGTAAAAATATTAAAATTAGTTTTAAAAGCAAGAGGGCAACAAATATTAACACAATAGAACTATCTCAACAATTTACCATTCCCTTGAGATCCCCAGGCCTGATGACTTAACCAAGATTTGAGGGGCTTGCAGATAGTTACTAAGGACGGAGCCAATCTCACCTTTGGTAGGGGGAGAGGGAATGATATTCCATAAGGCAGATACTATAGGATAGTAGGACTATTTCTTGGGTCCCATTAGATGTACAGAAACTACTGTACATCTGTAACAATATATCTTTTCTGCTAAATCCGATAGACAGATGTAATTGGGAAGAGATGGTCCTTCAAATAATTCAGGCCTATGAAGCACTTTACTCAGCACCTTGAATTGGATCTGGAGACAAAACAATTTATGACATAATATAAATATAATAAAACATTTCCTATGCTGATGTTTGACTGTGCTATACAGTTCAACATAAGCTCTTTTCAAGATAGATAAGTCTCTGAATATAGTTCCAGCTATCCCAGTGAAGGCAGTACATTAAAAGCTTTGTCAAAAGCATCGGTAAGGAAATATCTCTGAAAAGATGATCCAGCAGGTTCAAAATTCTCTGGTATACTACTAAAATTCACATATCTGTAACCTTCAACTGGGCAAAGTGGTGCATCACAGGACAAAATATTTTGAACCAAGGTGCCTCAAATGAGCTGATTCACAGAATCTGTCCAAAATCCAGGACGCATAACTCCAATGAAATGGAAATGTAGCATTTTAAAAAAAACATTTTATGACACAAAAACTATTCTACAACATTTTATGACACTCTTTTTAAAAATCTTCAGTCATGGACCATCCACAGCTTCTGAAGACAAGCAGTTCCACCGATTAATTGTTCTCACTGTTAGAAAATTTTTCTTAGTTCTAGGTTGGCTCTCTCTTTGATAAGTTTCCATCCATTACTTCTTGTCTTGCCCTCAGTTGCCTTTCAAAATAAATTGTCTGCTGTTCTTTGTGACAGCCTCTGAAATATTGAAAGACTTCTATCATACCACTCTTATCTTCATTAGATTAGACATACCCAGTTCCTGCAACTGTTCGTCACACATTTTACCCTCCAGACACCTAAGCATCTTTATTGCTTTTTTCTACACACTTTTTAAAGTATACTCTTCAAAATGGACTACTTTCAAGCCAGATTCGTCACTTAAAATCTACCTGAAGTTTTCCTAGTATGTTAGAAGCTCTCCCGTTGTTGAAGGCATTGGGGAATCTGGTCCGGAAAGATTTCTATCAGGTTATGGATTGTCTACTATTTCTATAGCAACATCACAAAACATTTTTTTTTCAGTTGCTTGTTCTTCTGGATGCCCCTGCAATGGCAATGTTTATGTATAAATAGAGAACCCAGATCAGTTGACTGCAATAAAAATACAGTACTTGATTTATGACCACAGTTGGGACTGGAATCTCAGTCATTAAGCAAAACAGTCTTTAAGTAAGATACCATATGACCACTTCACTCAAAACTGCAGTCACAGCTCTTCAGGCTGAAGTTATTAAATGACCTGGCAGTTTTCCTCCATGTGCAAAAGGAAACTCCTGTGCTGGGCAGGAGAAAAAAAACTTGGATGTCTGCAATTTCTGCTTCATTTCTCCAACCCAGCACAGGAGTTTTGTTCCTGCAGGAAAACAGAACTCCTCTGCTGGGCTGGAGTATAGAAGTGAGGACCCTGAAGATCCATTCCTCATTTCTGCAGTCCAATGAAGGATTTCTGCATGAATGTGAGATGAAATCCTTTGGCAGGCAATAGCAGCTTGCAACCTTCCTTGCCAGCTTCCCCAATGACTTTGTAAGGAATCTGGCAGAGAAGATTGTGTTTGGAAACACCAACCTAGGCAGAAAGAGGCAGAATTAGCCTCAAATCCTTGCACAGTTGAAAGAGGTCAAGAACTTACTTCCCCTTAGGCTCCATAGAGCATTGGCTATCTGTTCCTAGGCTGAAGCTGACAGTCTCTAGGCAGTATAATAGAATATAATAAAGTAGTAAGTTTCAATTGTACACATGTGGATCTGGTTACTTCTGCCTGACAGTTTGCAAATGGTGATCACATGATCACAAGGGGCTTGGCAACCAGTCATAAGTGCAGACAAGTGTCTAAGGACCATCATGTGACTGGGAAGAGGGGATTCAAAATGTGCAGGAGTGCTTTTTGGACCATAAAGCACATTTTTGAGCCATCATAAATTTAAATGACTGATTGTAAGTTGAGACCTGCTTGTACAATGCAACTGTAAAATAATAAAACTGGGAAATCTATAAATTAAAAATACTGAGTTAAATTTCCAATTAATCATGTTGTTCAGTCATGATTTATTTGCCCCTCTGATTTCAATATGGCTCTGCTGCAAGCATTATTATACTACCCGTTATGTGCTTTATTTGGTTTCAGCTTAGTCTTATTCATTGTGATTTTTGGTTTAGTGTTATGTAAAACAAACATATGGCTTGTTCAGTAAATCATGGATAAATATAGTAGTTGAATCTAAAATATATGTAAATATAAACCAATGTAATCTGAAGTAGCAATCATTTAAAAATGGAAGTGTAAACTGTATATTAACCATCTATGGAAATAAAAATCACTTAACTTGGTATAAAAATCATTAGGGACCAAGCGGGAATCTCTGCCTGGATATTTATACGGCTGTAGAAACACCTATGAGCTGATGTTGTTTCTTGTGTACAACCATTACAGTCCAAAAGGAAGATGAATTTAATCTAGAAAATTTCTAAGAGAGAAAAAGTTCTTAAGGCAATGAATTCCCAATAACCATAACACTGGGAGTCTTAGTTCTACCTCATTTGGATGGTACTGAGTTGGGCAATAAATCTGTAAAAGTTATGACTGCTACTTCAACTTTAGAAACATAGAGGTAATGTGTTTGAATTCTGGATTAAATTAAATCAAAAGAGTTTATTATCTAGAGAGTCCAAGTTAAGAGTTTATCCATGTCTAGATTACAGTGCTTCCAATAAAAAGCATTATTCCAAATGTGCTCCTTAATTATTTTTATAGTAAAAAAAATAGAATGAAAGAATGATGAGATAATTTCTAATGTCTTCTCCTCCCTTCAATTCTCAATTTCGGATAGAGAGAATTACACTGTATAAACTTTCTCTTGGAGAAACAAATGGTTGAAATAAAATGTAAGACAAAAGTCCATGATTTCACATATACTCATGTGACTGTCAAATGTTGCTGGCCACAACAATTCAAAAGCATAATTAAAGTGCTTCAGCCAAAGCAAATACCAATTAAGTGCAGCCCAATAAAACAAAGGATAGTAAGATATTTGCATATCTCTATTGTTTTCCATTTGACTCTACTAATTTGTTTTTAGTTTTTCTCTTCTCCTATTAAAATCAATTAATTTAGGGTAGCCAAATAGCGAGTTACTTTTTAGACCAGAGAAGTTCAGATTTTTTAAGGTACTGAATCTTTTTTCCTCTGTTGGTTCCACATTCAACCCTTGGATTTGAAATGGGCTTTTAAAAACACAATACTTATAAAAATGGTAACAGTGTTAGAGCATGGGAAGTTTCTGGGAACATAGCTGGAAATATCAGGATGAAAAAAATGGAGCAGATATGTCTAATTATTTTAAAAAGTGAGAGATTTAGCAAGAACAGTTTTTATTTCATATAACTGAAATTGTCTGTCAAGGCAAAAGCAAAAATGGATGTTAACGTTTTTATTAAATAATTCTACTAGACTAACCAAGGAATTAGACTAATGAGGAGTTTTCAGCTCCCCATTAATCATAGAAGATTAAGTGTCTGTCGTCATAAATCTCAGCTTTAGTCTGACAGATTACCTCCACTGTCCTGTATGTCTCAAATTATATAGTAATTAGTATATAATCTGTGTAGCATAATCTTACT